TACCCACCAATTATGCTTCTTATTCCCTGTACCTTTTCCCCCATTTTCCACCCTCCTCCTCCCTGCTGCTAACCCTCCACGTGATCTTCATTTCTGTGATTCTGTCCCTGTTCTAGTTGTTTAGTTTGTTTTTGTTTTTATTTTTAGGTTCAGTTGTTGACAGTTGTAAATTTGTTATCATTTTACTGTTCATAGTTTTGATTTATTTTTCTTAGATAAGTCCCTTCAACATTTCATATGACAAGGGCTTGATGATGATGAATTCCTTTAGCTTTACCTTGTCTGGGAAGCACTTTATCTGCCCTTCTATTCTAAATGATAGCTTTTTTGGATAGTAGTCTTGGATGTAGGTCCTTGCTTTTTATCTCTTTGAATATTTCTTGCCAGTCCCTTCTTATCTGCAAACTTTCTTTTAAGAAATCAGCTGATAGTCTTAGGGGAACTCCTTTGTAGGCAACTCTCCTTTTATCTTGCTGCTTTTATGATTCTATTTTTAACCTTTGGAATTTTAATTATGTTGTGTCTTGGTGTGGTCCTCTTTGAGTCTAGCTTGTTTGGGATTCTCTGAACTTCCTGGACTTGTATGTCTATTTCCCTCACCAAATTGGAGAAATTTTCTTTCTTTCAATTATTATTTTAAACAGGTTTTCAATTTCTTGCTCTTCCTTTCATCCTTCTGGCACCTCTATGATTTGGATGTTTGTAAGTTTAAAGTGTACCAAAGGTTCCTAAGTCTCTCTCTCTTTTTAAAAATTCTTGTTTCTTCTTTCTCTCTGGTTGACTGCTTATTTCTTCCTTTTGTTCCAAATCGTTTATTTGAATCCAGCTTCCTTCCTTTCACTGTTGGTTCCCTCTATATTTTTCTTTATTTCATTTTTGTTTCCTTCACTTCTTCCTTTATTTTGTGGCTGTGCTCAATCATTTCTCTGCGCATCCTGCATCCTGACCATCAGTGCCTTGAACTCTGCATCTGATACGTTGACTGTCTCTGTGCCACTTAGTTCTTTTTCTGGAGTTCTGATCTGGTCCTTCATTTGGACCTTATCTCCCTTTCTCTTCATTTTGGCAGCCTTCATGTGTTTCTGTGTATTAGGTTGAGCTGCTTTGATTCCCATGCTTGATGCATTTGTTATGTTGTAAGGGGTGGAGCCTTAGGTATCCCCCAGGGTGGGGCAGCGCACTTCACCGCTTTGTGATGCTGTATGGGGGAGGCATCAGAGAGAGAACACTGTCACTCGCTTGGCTCTGGGGTTCCCAGTCACTTGCCCCAGTTCCCATAAGCATCTGCTACCCTTCTAGTTGCTGCCCTGGTCCTGATTACTAGAGTGGGTGGGTTTGTAGATGTTTTAGGAAACTGTGGGCCCTTTACATGGACTGTCCTGAGAGACTGGCAGTTTCTTCCCCCACACCACCCTCCACTGGTTTACAGCCAGAGGTTATGAGACTTTATTCTCCCATTGATGAAACCCTGGGCTATGTGGTCAGGGGCTGAGATAGCTCACTCCTGGTTGTCCTTCCCAGTTTTTATCCCCCTCGTGTCAATGTGGGAGCACCCCTTCAATGGGCCACCATCGCAGCTGCCTCACCATACCACACTGTGTCCTCTCTGCCTCTCTTACTGGTCTGGATGGTTGTTTCTTCTTTAAATCCTTGGTTGTTGGACTTCCATACAGCTCAATTTTTCTGGAAGCTCTGGCTATTTTCTGGTTTTAGATTGGTTGTTACCCTTCTTATGGTTGTGTGAGGAGGTGAATCAAGTCTACTTATGCCTCTACCTTGGCCAGAAGTCATAATTAACATGACTTTTTAATGGTTTATATGTTGTGGTTAGGGACTTAGAATTGAGAATGAATATCATGTTTCATCTTGAGCAACTTGATGGTACAGTAACTTCACAAAATGAATGAGGAGGAGTAGGATGTTATGTATATGTGTACCCTTAATTTTTAAAAATATAATTTTATAGCTAAAACTCTCAGTTTTTATCCTATTTCTGTTCAACCAATATGTTTTTCTAATTTGACATCTCTTGGCACCAATTATGTTACATATATTTTCAGAAATGGAGTAGAATATGATATTGATTTTGTTTATAGGGGATAATGAAGAAAAGAATAATGGTCCTGGGGAGAAAGATGTGGAGGAGTTAAAATCAGCAGAGATGCCTGCTAGGGGTAGTGTCAGTGTTCAGTTGAATATGAACAGATATACTAGAAAAATGACATGATTAAGAAGGTGGACTTAAGACAATTTTTGGTTTATAGGTATAAGACAGATTATGTTTGAGAGATACTTATTTAGTTACTGATTTAAAGAGTTGTCTGGTATACTATCTAAATGTATTTCCTTGTATCTTCCACTATTAATCTTGAAAATAAGGTTTTCTTTATAACAATGCTCTTTGTCTTGCTGTGTATTAGAAATACCTGGGGAATTTTAATACCTTCTAATAGCTTGGTGCCATCTTCCCTCTCGCCTGAAGATTTATTCAGTTAGTGCAGAATAGGGCCCAGGCATCAGTAGTTTTTTTTTTAACTTCTCAGGTAATTCTATATGCAGGCAGGGTTGAGTACTATCATTTTTAGAAGATTATACTTGGCATCTAAATAATAGATAGTATTTGATTAGGAGAAAGGTTTGGAGAGTCATTTTTGTTATTTCCATTAAATATTTGTTTTTTTACTAGTGTTAAGATTTACTTACCGAATAAAATATAAAAGGGCATATAACTGAATATAATGTAAAAGGGCATATATATTACCTCTTGTGTTAAGAAGGAAGGAAAAATAAGAAACATACACATAATTGTTTATCTTTATATAAACACATTGAGGATAACTCAGAAAACAATGAAGCTGGTTACCTGCAAAGGATGGCGAGGACATGGATTGAAATCACTGGCATACTCCAGTCATTTCTACTTGCTTATAGGAACCAACTGTTAATTTTTTCAGTTTGCCTGTTGGTTGACATTATGTGGTAGAGTGAAATTAGCCACCATGTGTTGTCATTATACCATGGAAATTTGCAAACATTATAAATTTGGACATCTCCCCACCCCTCCTGCCCCAGGGGCACAACATCCACAGGGTAGAAGGGAAATAAGAGGGAGCACCACTTCTTTTACCATACTTTTTAAAATGTGTGTTTGTCTTTTGGAAGCATGTCCATGTTCCATATATTCAAAAATAAAAATAAATCAATAACTGGAAAAGTTAAAAACACCCTAAAACTGAAAGCAAATGGAAACAAAAGAGCCATTGTATTTCAAATGTATACCCTTACCCACATTGAAGGCGGGAAAAAGAATAATCCAGGTAACCACAGTATTTGATCCGTCTTGGCTAGGATGGAGTGGGGGGTGTAGTGAGTACAAGAATTGCAAACAAACTCTGAATTCTTTTTAGTAGGTTGGTTTATTGTAAGGGTACAGGTGAAGCAATCATGAAACTATTTTAGATGTATTGCAGGGTTGGGCTAAAATGTTGGTATTGGGAGCCAGGGTCTTCACTGTGGAAGAAGGTACATACAAATATGGATTGGGAGAGGTGAAAAAGAAACTTATGGGACAGATGCGCATTAAAGTTTTTATGTAAACTTATGATTTAAATGTATGTATATACATGTGTGTATATGATATATGCACATACATGCATACATATAATGTTTTCTCTATGTATATGTGTATATAGATATACCAATAGATATATAGGTGTGTATTCTAGCTATGTCTGCTAACTGATCCAAGAAGCATGGACTATGTAGAGTAGGTGGAAGATGAACCTATATCATCTTGATAAGTAAGTAAGAAATGTATCAAAAAAAGAGAGGTGAGCACATATCATAGGAACACATGAAACAACTTGAAGGACCCCCTACTGGTAAAAGTAATAGTAATTAATTATAAATAATTCAAACTGGTATTCATGAGTCCACATGAATAATAGAGAAATACATAGGTAGGCAGATAAATAAATAAACAGTTGGGAGAGAAGGGAGGACTCTTACTTTAAGTAGAATGCTGGGTGGTAATTAATACATGTAAGACAGAGTGTTGGATGTCAGAAAAATTAAAATCACCTGTGAGGTCCAGAGGACATAGTATACTTCCAGAGAAGATACTCTGAGAAAGGCACAACATCACACATTTAGTGTTCTGTCTGGAAATACATGACCTGAATATAATTTTGAGGGAGCACTAACCAAGGACGTCTCTGTTTTTACAAAAAGGAGATGCTATATTCTACAGAAGTCTCAATACACAAGAGAGAGTTTTAGAAATGTTCCTACATTAAAAGAAAATAAAAGCAATATCTAACCTGAGACTAAATTATGTACTGAAGGGGAAAAATGCTGTAGAAGCATTATTAGATCAACTGATGTATTTGGAATATGAATGGTAGATTAGATAACATTATTATATCATTGATAAATTTACCAAAGTGGATACCTATATTTCAGATATGTAGAAAATATCCCCACTTTTACTAAACACATACCAAACTATTTAGGGGTTAAAGGACCATGACATATATAACTTTTCATTTAATGGTTCCATAGATGTGTGTGTGTGTGTGTGTGTGTGTGTGTGCATGTATAGAGAGAGATAGAAAGGGAAGAATGGACAGAGAGAAAGAGATAGAAACAGAAGAGGGGTCAACCCCCCCCAAAAAAAGCATATGGCAATGTATATTAATAGATGAGTCTGGGCCACACCCTATCATTTAGAATCTCATATAGAGATGATTTCCTTCAAGAAGTCTATCTGGCATAGTAGGGTACACAATGCATTGCTGTATTAATATATAGATGATTTTGCTAAAAGCTATATATTTTATGTTTTGATAGGTACCATATCTTAATTCATCTACATTTTCTTCACTCCATTAAGAAATAAATGAAGCTCTAGATATTATATTACCGAGAAGGCAGCTTTTAACTCATGAAGTACCAATGTGCACAATAGTTCCTCACTGACTTATTTTCCCATTCTTTGATAGAGATTTGCACCTGTGAAATCAACCACCCCAGGTCCCGGCACATATAATGAACCTCGAACTGCTTTCAAACCCTTCAAGAAAACATCAATATTTAAAAATACCCCATTTGGTCAGAGTGCTGCTCGATTCACACAAGGCTCCAAGACAGAGAAAATACCAGGTTATCAATGAATCCATGCATTACTACCATTTAGTTTTATGTAACTTAATATTCTTAACAAGATGGATGCATCAGAGAGTAGAGCCTTTTTTGTTGTTCTATAGTTGGTGCTGTCATTTTAAATTTACAATGCTTTTTTAAGAACATTAACTATAACTAACCACAGATAGATAAAAATACCATGATGTTGGTAATATTTTTACTTGAAATGTCACGTATCTTAATTTATAATTTTCTATTATTTCTATGATTTCCTTTTATTCAGTGAATTTCCTAGTTTCCTCTTGGTAGATGAATATACTTTCTAGATGAATATATATATATATATATATTCATCATTTTGGTATCTATGTCTATCTATCTATCTATCTATCTATCTATCTATCTATCTATCTATCTCCAGAAAGTATTCAGCCATATAACATAAAAAATAGAGACATTTGTTGAACATGATACAAGATACAAGAAACATTGTACATAGGACAATGATGCCTCAGTCCCCTTCAAAGTAGACACTTTGGGACCTCACACAGTTCTAATTGCCATTAGCTGCTCAGTTATATATTTCCTGAATCTCATTGATGATTTGAAGTCTCTTCCCTTTTAAGATGATTTTAGTTTTGGGAAAAGCCCAAAGTCTCAGGGTCACAAATGTTGGCTGTAATGAGGCTGAGTTACCTGGATGATTTGATGTTTTACCAAAATACTTTGTACCAGCTGTGATGCATGGAGCTTCCAATCACTAGTTGCCCATAGCTATGGCCTTCTGAAGCATCTGAATAGTTCCCACAGAGGAATGTTCAAGCTTAATGCAAAGTCTGATGCAGATTTGTTGCTCTACCTGCTCAGTCATTTTTAATGTGATGGCCTCACATGCTCGCTCAACAGCATCTAACTGCCCCCACGGACTAGTACAGTGAAGTCATCATTATTCACATTGTGCATTCCAGGCCATTATCTTTGACTGTCAGGTTACATTGATTGGTTGGCCTTTTTCCAGAGAGACTATATATATCAGTTATGCAGTCACTGCTAGTAGTATAACTTCTGATGCTCAGTTTTGTTAAAATTCTATTTTGGTGATGTCTACTCATGTATTTTGATATTCTTAGTGGTTATTCTAGTATACAGAGTTAAGAATATAGCACCAAAATAACATATAATTGTGGAAATATAGTTAGCCATTGCTGTGTAAGAATCTTAGTGGCTTAAAATAAAAAGACCCCAGATTCAAGATGGCATCTATCAGGGGGCTGATGAAGGACAACCTTCCATATAACAAGGGGGCCTTCAGAATAGAAGTCAACTTTCCAGCAGAGCACCCATTCAAACCACCAACAATCACATTTAAAACAAAGGTCTATCACCCCAACATAGATGAAAAGGGCCGGTCAGCCTGCCAGTAAAATGTTAAAAACTGGAAGCCAAAAACCAAAACCAACCAAGTCATCTAGGCCCTCATAACACTGGTGAGTAAACCTCAGCCTGAGTACCTACTTTGGGCTGACCTAGTCTTTGAGCATGCTGGTGCCCTGGCAGCTCCCAACCAAAGTGCTGGGTCCTCTGGGGACAAGGGAGAGCTGTCACCACTGACCCGAGTCCACTCAGGAATTTATACCTGCCTGAACCAAACCAAAAGTGGGCTGCATCCTTCCCACTCCTCCCTATCCCTGTTTCCATGGAAGACAATAGGTTTTCTAAGATGCTGCGATCCTGTTTTGCTGCCCTTAATAAAAATGGTGTCCAACAAAAATAAATAAAATAGAATAAAAGAGACAAACTTTTCCATTAGATCTCATTATTTTGTGGGACAGCTGGAAGACAGAGCTCTGATGGTACTGTCATTCAGAGTGGATGCATAGCTCCAGCCTGGCTGTCCCAGGGTAGTTGGTTTTTTAACATGGTAGCTTTGAGTGCCACAAGACCTGTCAGGATTCTGCAAGGCCTGTTATGCCCTACCCTCAGAAATCCCAGGGCATCACTTCCATCACAGTCTGTTAGTCAACCAAGTCACTCAGGGCAGCATATATTGAACAGAAGGATATGCTACTTCTTCTCTCAATGACAGAATTAGCAAAGAATTTGTGGCCATCTTTGTTCTACTATAGACTACCCTCTAGTCACAAAAGACTTACATTTTTCCTACATGCCTTCTCAAGGCTTCCAGAGTTTCATGGAATTATGGTATAACCTTAAAATCCAAGATCTTGTTATCTGAGTCAGGTATAGGTGCAAGTGAGGATTTTGAGTATGGTATTTCAGATAAGCTTCTTGAGTTAGACCCCTCTCTATCGGGAGAGTTGTGAACTAAAGGTACAAATTATGATCCCCACAAATTCAACACACAATGGTGGGAGAAAGTTAGAATAATCATAGTAGACACTCATGTTAAAAAAAGAGAGGGGACATGGAGGCCTAGAGAAGTCACAGGGATATAGCAATTCTGAAATCCAGTCAGGGGTACGTTGCCCTTTCCTTGATTAGGTCCTACTTGGACTCTCTGGGAATGATTTTCCGTGGTACTTTGTTCTACCTTCTGGGCTGTTGGTCTCGTTCTTTTTATCATCATTCCTTTCTAGAAGAAAGATGCTGTGTTTGCAGCTGGAGTTTTTCAGCATGCTTCCTGCACATAGGAGGTTGGGAGTCTATAAGCTACTTTTCACTCTGCACTGTTGTTTCTTATTCCTTTCATTCCGAGTTGGTACAATTTCTTACAAAAAGTTTGTGCATTTCTTACTGTATGAGTTTATTACCAAGTATATGGGACAAGACCATACTCACATGTACTTCTTAGAAAAACTTTTGTCTAGTTTGGGTCACCTTTGGTGATGTCGTGTCTCAATTTTCAGGAGCACCCTTGTCTTAGCCAAGAGTGTCTATGACATGTGGACTCAAAATTCTTAGTGGCCTGCTTTCTCTCTCTCCCTTCCTTCTTTCCTTCCTTCCTTCCTTCCTTCCTTCCTTCCTTCCTTCCTTCCTTCCTTCCTTCCTTCCTTCCTTCCTTCCCTCCTTCCCTCCCCCTCCCTCCTTCCCTCCTTCCCTCCTTCCCTCCCTCCTTCCTTCCTTCCTTCCTTCCTTCCTTCCTTCCTTCCTTCCTTCCTTCCTTCCTTCCTTCCTTCCTTTCTTCTTTTTTCCTTCCTTCCATTTTTTTGTTTAAGAAAACAAGTTTATTAGAAAAATTAACAAAAAATCTAGAAAACATATAAAAGGTACTTGGCTTCCTCACCATAAGAGATATGATGTTGTTTACTAGTATTTCTAGTTTTCCCTCCTTTTTGATACATATACCTTTGAGGTCACATGACTAGCTTTGGCCAATGAAATGAATTGGGAGTGAAACATGTCACTTGTAGCCGGAAGCATTTAAATGCCTGTACAAAAAGCTCCAGTTTTCTCTCCCCCTGAGAAAATAGTCACAGTATCACATTCAGATAGATGTGCCAAAATGTACCAGTACATGGAGGGCAGCTGCTGGACAGTCATGTGACTTCTTTGTTACAGCAGCAAAATCTAGCCTATCCTTGGGCATGCATGTGGAGGGGTGACAAATCTCAGTGTACTCATTGACTGTCATGGTCTGGAAGAGGGAGAAAAGTGCTGCTGTTCCACATAGTAAGTGGAAAGGCTGCTTAATGCTGCTGATAAGATGAAAAAAATGACAATCATTTGTAGCAGAGCTGAATGTCTTTATCTTTTAAAAGGCTATACCACAGACAATACGTTTTGATGACCACACAATTTCCTTTATTTCATGATATCAACACGTGCATTTTTTCTTATGAATAAGCCAGCACTTTTTAAAATTTTACTTACTTATTTAACAAATATTAATTGTGTGCCTTCTCTGAATCTGGCAATTTCTGGGTAATATACCAGGCAGTAAAAGAAGTAAAAAAAAATCTGGTGGAGGCCCTTTTCTTTAAATGAGAGGTTCTGTGAAATTTCATCTTTCTCTGAGAGTTTAGGGTCATCCAGCCAAACCCTGATTTTGAACTTTGCCTTCCAGCCATTTTTTTTTTTTGCCTTGAGAGCTTTTTGCTGTATGGAGAGACTGAGAATGAAAACCAATTTTACTTTCAAAGCCAGAAACTCCTGATTCCTTTTAATTTCCTATAAATTCTGCTTAAAAACTGAAATGTTTTAGCTCATGTCTTTCCATCTATACCTTTACATACACAGCTGAAAGCAGCTAGTTGGCACTTTTGATATTCATTCTTAAAATTTCCTTAACTAGAACCTACTAATTTGTTAGGCATTTTCTTCATTACCTCAAGCGTTAGTTTTGTTACAATTTCTGCCATTGTATGATACAAATTATTTTTCCTCCAACCTCCAGTAACATGTCATTGCTGTCTTTTAATGCATCGCCAACTCTCCTAAGTCTTGAAGTTATTTCAGCTTCTGACCCCATTGCCCGATCTCAAACCATTGCAACGAGTTTTGCTATGGTGATTTGTGATAGTCATACTGTACTTGTACACAAGTGCTTACTGCTCAGGCTGTAGAGAGGTTGAGTCTTATTCTTCTCCTCACCAATCTTGGCTAGTGTGGTGGCTTTCTGCAATGAAAGTGATAGTCTAGCACTTCTTAGGTGAAATTACATGCAGCATAAACCTGGGTCTGTTGAAATAGTTGGTATTAGAGACCTGAGTCTCTATGTATAAGTCTAACAGTGTCATTCAGAAGAGGACATACATAAGTGCTTGGCTTTATCATGAATCTGAAATCCAAATTTTTTCTAAATATAAATTTATTGAGTGACCCAACTACCTTCAGATTGGGTCTTGTTTTCAGCTTGATAGTTCAGTGCATGATGAATAAAATATTATAAATTCCCCAAGGGTTAGTTTATTTGTAAAGGATAAACTTGAATTATGATTACCTCTAAAGTTTCCTTCTGCATCTTATTTTAAGAATCAGTGAGAATGGCCTTCATGGAATTTTGTGCTCCTTTTTTCTTTATGTAGATATTAGAACTCAGTAATGAATTGCAATCAAAGCAAGTTAGAAGGCACCTCTAAAGAGTCTAGCTCTGGGATTTCTGGGTATTTCTATACTTAATGACTAGGAAATTAATATGAAAAACCTCTACTATGAGCAAAATATATGATCAAGATGGATTTTCAAATCAGAAGCTTAATAAAGTAGTACCTGAGATGTAAATACCTTGAGGTTTCCTGTATTTAAGCAGTTAAGCTCACTTACAATGTGTTATGTTATCCTCTTATGCCAGGAGAGAGAGAGAGATCTGAAGTATTTGTCTTTTCAATACCTTAAATGATGGCCCATAGAGTTTTCATTGTTTTTTCCTAAACATTACTAGTGGAGGAATTTTGGAAAATGGTAGGAATAAACATGTTAGCATTAGATTTTCTGAGAGTTGGCACAACAGAAATTTGGGTAGAGACTTTTGGAGAATAAACTTTAGAACTGGAATATTTGAAAAACAGAAGAATTTATGGGTAACTTCCTTGAAAAAAAACCTTATACATATTGGGAGTATAGAGGATTTGATTGTAATAATGATTTGATCACATTTAACCACAAAGGAAACTAAAGTATCCCAGAGTATCCATTTGTCCACTGTTTCCCTCCCACAGGGAGGAAGGAGATGTACCAGAATATACACGAGCAACCTCCATGAAAAAAAGACTGGTTACAAAATGCTTAGTAAAATATTCAGTTTAACATTTAGTTGTAAGCTCCTTTTTATTTTCTTTGTTTTAGATTGTTGGGCAGGCAGAAGTCCACCAACCACATTTTGAATAGCACTGATCTAGTCAGTCCCTATTATCTTCAGACAAGAACTTGAAGCCCAGAAAAATAAGACATTAAGTGATGTTTCATAATCCATTCAGTTGCAGACCTCATTTTGCAGAATCCAGATAACATGAGTATGAGCAAGTCAAATGTTCTTTCAAGTACATCATACTGTATATATATAATGCTGCTCACTGGAGCTGATTTTTTAAAAATACTGAATTATAAAGCATACACAAATAAGCATTTTTAATCTGTGGTTGAAAATCCATGTATGTGAAAGGCTGGCTTAAGTTATACACACATACAGATTTTTGATTCTATGGGGGTCAGTGCTTTTAACGTGGCATTGGGTAAACTGTATTTATTTCAAATTAAATTTTTTCAGTAGCATAAAAAGATGCTTGTATTATTTGAATTAAAAAAAGAAATGTTATTCTCTCAGATTGCCAGTGTAGAATAAATTCCTGGTAATAAAAAATGCACTAAAAGCTAAAAGGCAAAAAATTAAAATGCTGTGATAGGAAGATTAGATGATAGATATTTTTTTCAAATTGATTGTTGATGCTCCTTCATCAACTTTTCAATACTTTTTGGCATCAGGAATTTCCTTCATTCTTTCTTTGACTGAGGTATAATTTACCCAATAAAAATAATTCATTTTAAGTACAGTTTAATGCATTTTGGTAAATGTATATAGTCAGGTAACTGGTATAGTTTTGAAATATTGCCATCATTTTTAAAAAGTTCTCTCATGGCCCTTTGCAGTTAAATCTCTGTTCCCACTCCTGGCCCCAGGCAACTGTCTTTGTATTATGATTTTGCATTTTTTAATTGTTGTTCTGTTACAGTTGCCCCAAAATCCCCTGTTGTTCTCTACTGCCCCACTGGTCCCCTAACCCCCACTCCCACAGTCAATTCCCACCCTGTTGTCCACGTCATTGGGTCATTTATAACTGTTCCTGGATTAGGCCCTTTCTCTTCTTTCTTCCTTTATCCCTGTTTCATCTCCCATCAGGGTCCTGTCAGACTGTTCCTTGTTTCCTTCCTTGCCTCTGGTTCTATTTTGCTCAATTGTTTGTTTTGTTCATTAGTTCCCTGTTATAGGTGAGATCATATAGTATTTGTCTTTCACCACCTGGCTTATTTCACTCAGCATAATGCTCTCCTGGTCCACACATGCTGTTGTGAAGGGTAGGAGCTCCGTCTTTCTTTCTGCTGCATAGTATTCCACCATGTACATGTACCATAGTTTTTTGATCCACTCATTTACTGATGGTCACTTAGGCTGTTTCTAGCATTTGGCTATTGTAAATTGTGCTGCTATGAACATTGGGGTGCATAGGTTCTTTTGACTGGGTGATTCAAGATTCTTGGGGTAGAATACCAGCAGTGGAATTGCCAGGTGAAAAGGCAGTTCTAGTTTTAGTTTTTTTGAGGAATTTTCATACTGTTTTCCAAAGTGGCTGCACTAGTCTGATAATTTCATATAAGTGAAATCATCTATTATTCAGGGTTATACATCTGTCTTCTTTTACTTAGCACAATGTTTTTGAGCTTCATTTATGTTGATGTAGTTATTTTTCCTTTTTATCACTGAGTAGTTTTCCATTGTTTGGGTAGAGCACATTTTGTTTATCTATTCACCAGATGGTGGACGTTTGGGTAGTTTTTATTTCTCTTGGGAAAGTACCCAGGAGTAAAATTTCTGGGTCATATGGTAAGCATATATTTAACTTCATAAAAAGCTGACAACATGTTTTTCAAAGTGGTATATCATTTTGCATTCTGCTAGCAATATATGGAAGTTCTTTCTAAAAAATAATGTAAAGTTACCCCTTTTAAAAATGTAAAAGCATATTTATTCTTATATATTATATTCTTCATAATTTTAGGCCCTGGGTCTTATAATATCCTCAACAACACTATCACTGACAACGTTAGCAATAAGCGCTCAAAGAGACAGAGGAAAAGTGCATTTGGGTCTTCTGTTTCTCGGACTTTCTCCTTGGATCGGAAAGAAATTGTTACTCCTGCTCGTTGTCAGGTAACGTGTGGATAGCAAAATTGTATTCCCTATATCTAATACCAATAATTTAGGATTAAAAATTTTTGCATGTGATATAAATGTATCATTATTATAAGCATATGATTATTATTAAAGTTATTTATATGATAAATTATGGTATAAGAATTAGAATTTGATTCACAGCTGTATTTGCAATTAAAAAAACCAAATCTTATTTTTTATGTCTTTGAGTGTCTGATCTGTACTTCTCTGAATGTTCATCTTCATCTTAAGGTTGCTCCACTCTTCTCTGTGTATATTTAGGTCTCTTTAAATGCTTTGCAGCTCTATAATTTTTGTGTAGAAACCTCACATCTTATTAGATTTATTCCTAGGTATATGATGTTTTTACTTCTGTTGTAAATGTTTGAAATATTTGTGGTGTTTAGCTCTCTGTTTTTGGTATAAATAACTATAAGAGTCTTTATTAAACGTTTGCTTTACCAAACTTTTATTAAAGATTTGCTTTATCCATACTACTGCTATATTAAATGATTGATTTTACTAATGTATTATTAGTTTTTTAAAAATTTGCCATATTTAATCTGTGACTGGCAGTATTTTTATTCAATCATTGTATCTTTTATATTTAGAGTTTGCCTTACTGAACATTTGCATCTCAGAACAAAGCTTAAGAATATTCATAGGAATTAAAAAATACCAGTACTCAACAAGGTAAAATTCACAGGATGTCATACCCAATTTTTAAAAAAATTAATAGCCATGCAAAGAAGAAGGACAATAAATCAAGAATGAGGGGAAAAGAAACCAGCAGAAAGAGACACAGGTTGCAGTTTGCTGCAGCCACTGGGGAAAACAGTATGGAGGTTCGTCAAAAAATCAAAAATAGAACTACCGTATAATCCAGCAATCCCACTTCTGGGTATTTATCTGAAGGAATCAAAAACACTAATTTGAAAAAAGATATATGCCTTCCTATGTTCATGGCAGCATTATTTACAATAGTCAAAATAAGGAAGCAATAGACAAGTAGATAAAGAAGATGTGGTACATGTATAAAATGGAATGTCACTCAGCCATAAAAAGGTATGAAATACTGCCATTTGCAACAACATGGATGGACCCAGAGGATATTATGTGAAATGAAATAAGTCAGACAGAGAAAGACAAATGCCATGTGATATCACTGATATGTAGAATCTAAAAACTGAAACAAACAAACAAACAAACAAACAAAGCAGAACCAAACTCATAGATATAGAGAAAAAAACTGATGGTTGCCAGCTGGGAGGGGTTTGGGTGGTTGAGTGTAAAAGGTGGAGGGATTAAGAAGTACAAATTGGCAGTTACAAAATGGCCATTGGTATGTAAAGTACAGCATAAAGGTCAATTGTATTTTAATAACTTTGTATGTTGTCTGGTGGGTACTGGAGTTATTGTGGGGATTATTTCATAAGTTACATAAATATCTAACAACCACGCCATATGTCTGAAACTAATATAATAATAAATGTTCATTTTAAATGAAAAATTAAAAAAGAGACAAAAATCACATGAATGATAAAGTTAGTGAACAAAGGCATTAAACAGTTATTATAACTAAATTCCATATGTTCAAGAACGTAAGGGAAAAATTAAGCATGCTAAGTAGAGAAATAGCACAAATAAAAAGGCATGAAGTTCTAGAGGTGGAAATTATAACATTTGAAAAAAAGTACACTGTTTGTGATTAAAAAAAACATTAGAGAATTCAGTAGAAAAGATTAGTGAACCTGAAGATAGTAATAGAAACTACCTAACATGAAATACAGTTAGAAAGAAAACAAAAAGAAATGAATAAAGTATCATTTCTGGGACAATTTGAATTGGCCTAATAAATGATAATTGAAGTCCTTGAAGGAAAATAAAGAGCGTGGGGCATGCAAAATATATTTTTAAAAATTGCTGAAAAATTTGAAACTTGATGAGTACTAAAACCTCACATATCTATGAAACTAAACAAACACACAGCACAAAAGACATCAAGGAAATTATTACAAGGCACATTACAATCAAATTGACTAAAAAGGTAGAAACAAATCTTAAAAGCAGGCATAGAAAAAGGATCTATAACATTACAAGAGGGACATACAAGTTAATAATGACAATATGTTTCTTGTTGGAAACCAGGCAAGTCAGAAGACAGCAGTGCAGCATCTTTAAAGAACTGAAAGAAAACCTTGTCAACCCATCATTACACAGCAGGCTAAAGTATCTTTCAAAAATGAAAGCAAAATGAAAACCTTTAAAACATACAAAAGCTGAAATAATTCACCCTCCAAAGACTTGCAATATAACAAATGTTTAAGGAAAACCTCCAGCAGAGGAAAATGTTACCAGATAGAACCTGGATCTATATAAAATAATTCAGAGTATCAAAGCTGATAGTTATGTGTATAAATATAAAAAGCCTTTTGTTGGGTTTCTCATTTCCTTGAAAACAAAGCATCTTACATGTTTTTGATTTGCCTATAATTTACCTTCACAAAAGTTAGAAGAAGGTATGAGAGGACCTCCTATTCTCAACTTCATTTTAACAAGGCAGAGAACTTATTTATGAAACAGAAAGGAATAATCATTTTACCAATAGTGATCATGTTATACAGTTTAGAATTGTCAGAGAAAGGTTTTGGGCTCTGTTAGACATATACAAGGAATTTAGACAATTTCCGTTTCAAAATGGTCAGCAGAAAACAAGAAATGTTTCTAAGATCTGAAAGTCTAAGAATAAAACTAGCTTGAAGAATTGATAGGAAGACACTCATGAATAAAATTTCTGACTATGCCATCTTGCTGCATATTAAACTTTTTAGAGCTCAGATTTTAAAAGGACATTTTAATGCACATTTATCTATTTAAAATTTATTCTTTTTTATTCTTAAAGAATTTGAGAAAACTTAAAAGAAGGCACATATGGTAAATTAAAAGTAGCCAGAAAATTAGGGTAGAAAATAGAGATAGAAGAGATATTATATAGATAGTATATAAATAGGAATCAAACACTGGGGAAGATTGAACGTAGTTGTCAGATAATAAAAAGACATGTACAGAACTTGGAAATATGGTGTATATCCTGCAGCTGGCATTAAGGAAATAATAATATAATACATGAATACAATAGAGAGACATAGAACCATTATCCATTAGGCTTAAAGAGAAGAACAGTTTATTGTAAAAAATACTGAGGAATATTAAAATGACTTTGGTTTGACAAAAAAGTTGCTTAGGAGATCTGAGAATGTCACAGGGGTGGGGAGGTGACATAGGGGCAGTAGAGCCACTGAACTGCTGAACAGGATTTGTTCTTCCTAGCAGTGAAAACGACTTTCAACCCAGAAAGGATGGAACATGCATAGTTCATAGGACATCGAATCAAAGAATACTTATTGTGGTAATGTAAAAATACCCTAGTGTTTTTAAAGAAACTTTTGAAGAAAGTGAAATGCTTTACAAATTTACATGTTATCCTTTGGCAGGATCCTAATGTTAGGGTTGGTCCAGTTTTAGTATATATGATACTGAAGTGAGCAACCTAGTGCTTTATGTTAGTTAAAAACTCATGATATAGCTAAAGAACACCTCATTGTAATGAAAAAGCAGCTGTAAAATCATTACTGCTAATCTTTGAGACATGCTTAAGGTTCATAGACCTAGAAGGAAAATAAAAATGATAAAAGTTTATTTTATTTTAAAAAATTTATTAAAATTTTGCAAAATGATATTTTCATGAATTCTTGCAAATTTTTGAATTGCTGCTGGTCAGTAAAGTTTCAGAATACAAAATCAACATTCAAAAATCAGTACTGTTTTTTATACACTAACAACAAACTATCTAAGAGAAATTTTGAGGTCCAAGACAGTGCAGAATATGTGGAAGCAACACCCATCTCCTCCCAGGAGCAAACTGGAATTACAAGGAAAATATAGAAAAATCAACATGGATAACTAACTGAAGACTAGCTGAAACAAGAAGTCTTATAGCCAAGGATTTACACAAGAAGCCAAATTGCGACAGGTAGGAAAGACAAAGACACAAAAAGGACTGCCCCCATTCCCAGTGGGATATCTCAGCTGCAAAGTTTCCCCCAGAGAAACTAGGGGTTTCAACTCAAGCTGGGCTCCCCAGTACAGAGCATCAAAACTTGGAAGAGATACCCACCTAACATCTGGCTGTGAAAATCAGCTGGGATTCTGTCTGCTAGGGAGAAACACTGGTCTGTTAGAGACACAGGTGCACTCTTAAAGGGGCAATGCACAAAGGTCTTACAGCCACTTACCCTGGCCTCTGCACAAGGAGGGCAGAGTGGACTAGATTTTTCTGAGGAGAAACTGGGGCTTGTGGCTCTGCCGAGATTGCTGAGGGAACAGCTGCTGGGAACCCTGTGCTGAGTCACTCTCCTGCACTACAGGCACAATTTTTCTTGGGTGAAAAGCACTCCCCTCCTTAAGGTGTCAGCCTGGGGGAAAGCAATAGCCCCACCCCCTGGACTTCCTATCACCCCACCTGGTGGTGTTCGGATCCTGCTGAGGAGTCAGATGCCTGGACAGGGGAGCAGGGGTCCGGGCATCAATGAATGAGTTGTGTGGCTTTGAGGTGGGGGCCACTCTCCCCACCTTCCCCTAAAACTGACCAATACTCCCCCTCATGGGAGAGCCTTGCCTTCCTGAATCCCAGCAGCCCTGTCCTGCTGAGCTGGGGCTCCTGGCAGAAACTTGGACAGACTTGTGTGGCTCTAAGACATGGGCAATTTTTCCCTCAATTGACTGACTGTGAAGAGCCCTCCCCTAACCTGGCTAAAACTTGCTATGTTAGGGCCTGGTGAACTCTGCTGGCCTGGCCATGATGACTGTTGGAGACCCCACCCTACCACAAAGGTCTGTGGGTATCCTGCTCATGGCAGCTAGACTTGGTGCACCCTGGAACATTTGCTGAGTGGCCCCAGACCCGGGACTGGCACCGAGGTTGAACCTGTATCAAT